GAGGGTGGTCCCTGAGCTTGGGGAGATGCTCTCTGACCTTTTCAACTTGACTCTGCCAGGAGAGTGAGTGCTGGGAACACCCAGCAGAGACGGACACAGACCTCCCTCCAGGCTCCCCACCCAGTCAGTCTCCCCTTCTTTGTCTCCTGGCCTGAGCTGGGTTGTGATGGAGTCTCTCCCCTGCAGGGCAAATTTGTGGAGCTTGGCCTGTCCAACTATGCCTCCTGGGAAGTGGCTGAGATCTGTACCCTCTGCAAGAAAAATGGCTGGATCATGCCAACTGTGTACCAGGTGAGAGGAAACTGGTGTACCAGGACCATCCAGACCTTGGAGTCTAAGACTCCATTGATCCTTTATCTTTGAGCATCACCATGACACTAGTCACCAGCACTACATGAATGCCCTAGTTGTCAAGGTCTAGGATGGTTAAGGACTAAACTAAGGGACTTAGAAGATACCTTTGGGGTCCCTTGACATGTTCCCCTCTCTGACTATCTCCTTGCAGGGCATGTACAACGCCACCACCAGGCAGGTGGAGAAGGAGCTCCTCCCCTGCCTCAGACACTTTGGATTGAAGTTCTATGCCTTCAACCCTTTGGCTGGTATGAGCTGCCATGGGGACGGGCCTGTGGATGGGTAGGTGGGCATGCCTGGCCTATGTTTGCCTATTGATGCTCTGACGGATGGTCAGTCAGGCACAAGGAAGTGGGGAGCTTAGAGAAGGGGTGTCTGGGTCCCCTCTTCCAGTTTCCCTCCTGTTCTCCAGTTCCTCTTGGGACTGACCTGGCTATCTGTGGGAAGAGTCTGGGCCAGGTTCTGACTGCTTCTTCCTGCAGGGGGTCTGCTGACTGGCAGATACAAATACGAGGACAAGGAAGGACAGCAGCCTGAGAGCCGCTTCTTTGGGAATCAGTTTTCTCAGGTGTACATGAACCGGTGAGCTGTGCTTGGGGCTGGGTCTTGTGAAGAAGTGCCATAGGTTTCCTTAATTGAGGGAGCATCCTTGAGGTTGCTTTCTTGGGGACTAACCCTTCTGTGATATTCAGACCCAAGACTGGATGTTAGCTGTCCTGGGCATTTGAGGGATGATCCTGGACCCTAGTATGGATCCCTTGCCGTCTGTACTTTCGTTAGCCTGTGTGCCACTCTTGGGGAAAGCTCTTCCACTGCCAACAGTGAGAGGACAACCCCAGATGGACTCAGGGGAGCCTGGAGCTTGGTGCTGACCCAGTGAGTCTAAGTCCTGTGACGTCTTGGGAGTGAAATGGTCATCATTGTCTCAAGTGGTCATAGGTGGACAGTGTTGGGAGCAACCTCCTTCTCTCTCTCTCTCTTTTTTGTTTTCTGTTTGTTTGTTTTTAATTTGAGTCAGCATCTTGTGTACCTTGGTCTGGCCCCAGACTTTCTGTGTAGCTCAGGATGATCCTCTTGCTTCCACACCCAAAGAGCTAGGCATTTTGTTTTTGATTTGTTTTTTCCCCAAGACAGGTTTTCTTTGTGTAGCCCTGGCTGTCTGGAAATCGCCCTTTAGACCAGGCTGGCCTTGATCTCATAGACGGCCTGCCTCTGCCTCCTGAGTGCTAGGATTATAGGTGTGCGCCACCACCAGCTGGCCAAAGAGCTAGGATTACTAGTGTCTTTCACCGAACTCTGCTCCAAATGTTAATTCTCTAGATATTTGGTGTGACTGGGAAAGCTGTGGCAGGATTTCAAGTGCAAGGCCTGCCTCCAGCTTGGGGATGGAATGCTCAAAGCCCTAGCTTTAATTCCCAGCACTAGGAAAAGAGAATCAAATTGAAAAATTATCAACTATTCAGTGTTTTTTGTCTAGTGACAATTTTTCCTATTTATTTACTTATTTATTTACTTATTTACTTATTATTACTAAGAGACTTTCTATTCATTTTACATACCAACCACAGATTCCCCTCTCCTCCCTCCTCCTGCTCCCCAGCCTTCACCCCAACTCACCACCCAGTCCCACCTCCTCCAAGGCAAGGTGTTCCATAGGGAGTCAGAAGTGCCTGGTACATTCAGTTGAGGCAGGTCCAAGCCCCTCCTCCCTGTACCAAGGCTGCCAAAGTGTCCCTCCATAGGCACTAGGCTCCAAAAAGCCATCTCATGCACCTGGGAGGGGTCCTGATCCCACTGCCTGGGGGCCCAATAAACAGTTCAAGCTAAACAACTGTCTCATCCATCCAGAGGGCAAGGTCTACACCTGTCAGAATGGCTAAGATCAAAACACTGATGACAGCTTATGTTGGAGAGGATGTGGAGCAAGGGGACCACTCCTCCACTGTTGGTGGGAGTGTAAACCTGTACAGCTACCTAGTGCCTTTTTTATTTTTTATTTTTGGAGGTATGGTTTGACCCAGGCTTGAAAACAATTGTGATGTTCCTGCCTCAGTCTCCTGAGATGTGGGATTAGATGTGTGTGTCACCATAGCCAGCCACTGTGTGAAACTCTTACACTCCCTCCCCCTCTGGCACTTAGATGTCATGTCTCCAAGGTTCATTGCAGACCATAGACTGATACATTTGCTGTTTGAATTCTCTGTCTGGGAAGGAAAGGCCCAGCAAGCAACTTTCTGAAGGAGGTTCTAATACTGGTTTTGTTGAAAAGTCTGGAGGCAGAGGCAAAAGCAGTGAACAGTCTGTGTTGGCCTTCCTGTGTACCCTGCTTGATTCAAGCCTTGTGTAGTGGGAGCATGCTGCCCACTGGTAGAGAGTACTTGTTGAGTGTGCAGGATGCCTTGCATTGGATGCTCAGCACCTCAGAACAAAATAACCAAAAAGAACCTGTACCTGCAGCCTTCCCTGCTAACAGACTGTGATCCTCCTGCCCATAGTAGGACCATTGCCTCCAACCATGAGTGGTTCTGAAGTCATTTTCACACACTGTCAGGGCCCAGGGCTCTCCTCTGAAGAATCATGTCCTGGTGGCCTTCACCATGGTCAATGCAGCCCAATCGGCTCTTCCCCTGAAGAAGTCACTGTGACAGGCTGCGGGAGAGTGTTCCCTCCCTCTATAAGTAGGCCAGTGAGTTCAGGGAAGGGAGGTGCCTCAGCCAAGACCACAGAGGCCAGCCTGGTGCCCAGGACTTTACCCAGGCTTTTCTGTGACTCAGCGCTCACAAATTTGGTGCTGGCAGCAGCTGAGAGTCCTCATTGAGGGAGCTGTATTGTAATGTTTGGTGAGCACAGAAAGTACCAGATTCTTGTCCTCTGTGTCCATCCCTGACCTGGCAAGAGGCCTGGAGACTTGTGTGTTCTCTGATGCTGAAGGAGCAGGGCTCTGCCTGAGGATCCTGACTGCCCCGAGACACTGACTTCCATGTCTCTCCCCGACCCATTCAGCTACTGGAAGAAAGAACACTTCAAGGGCATCGCCCTGGTGGAGAAGGCTCTGAAGTCCACCTATGGCACCAGCACCCCTAGCATGACCTCGGCCACCTTTCGATGGATATACCATCACTCACAGCTCAAGGTAGCCCAGCAGGTCCTGGCTGCTCAGCCTCTGCTGTGAAGTGGGATGGGGGAAAGGGGAGGCATGGAAGTGGTAGTGGGCTCCTGCTGAGACTACATCTTCTCTGGCCCAGCTTCTCCCAGGGCCAGACAGGGTGACCCATGTTGGTGATAGCTTACCTCACTGTTACAATGGCTGTGTGAAGTCTAGTCATCTTGATTTTTTTCTTTAATATCTAGTTTTTTTTTCTTTAAGATCTAGTTATTTTTATTTTGTCTATATGAGTGTTTTGCCTGATGGGCACCATGTTCACATAGTGCCCATAGAAGCCAGAAGAGGGTGGCACATCCCCTGGAACTGTAGTTACAGGTGGTTGTGACCTAGCACCATCAGGGTGCTGGACACTGAATCCAGGTCCTTTTCAAGAGCAGAAACTGCATCTAACAGTTAAGCCATCCCTCCAGCTTTAATGATCTTAATTTTCATATGGAGAAATTGGTTCAGAGAGGTCGATTTACTTGCTAAAGTCCCACAGTTCCATGTTGTAGGACGTAAGCATAGATTTGACTCTGAAAAATACATTTTAAAAAAAAGTATTTATTTCATCGCTTCCTCACTCCCTGGAGAGAGAAATCATTTCTGTTTCCCTGCGAGTGTGTCCCTCTCTGCCTGCTGTCCCCACTTGCTCCCCCTAACCCCTTTCCCCAGTGTGGGCATACTGGGGTAATGTGCCCCTTTAGTACCTGGTGAACCTCAGGCCTGAAGCTTAGTGTTTCCCAACCTGTCCTTTGAAGTAGAGGAGCCTGGAGGACGTTGGCTGTTTGATGGCAGTGGTTATTTCTCCCAGAAGCAATACTTAAGTGAAATCTTAGCAATCCTCCATTTTAGCAAGCCATAGGCTGGAAGAGGTGTGTGATGGGAGCCATGGGATGGCAGATGTGTGCTGGAATCTGTATCTTCCTTGCAGGGCGCCCATGGGGATGCAGTCATCTTGGGCATGTCCAGCCTGGAGCAGCTGGAGCAGAACTTGGCCGCCACTGAGGAAGGGCCCCTGGAGCCGGCTGTCGTGGAGGCCTTTGACCAAGCCTGGAACCTGGTCACCCATGAGTGTCCCAACTACTTCCGCTAAGCTGGGTCTGACCTGGGGAGGTGTCGAGGGTACTGCCTGTCACTCTGGGCTCTACCCTGGCCAGTCTGGGCCTGGAGCTGATTCAGCTGGTCGTTCCCTCCTCATCCAGATCACTGCTGACTTTGTTTTGTTTCTGTCTACTGTCTTCCTGTACACCCAGTTGCCTTCAGTGTGAGAGCTGGCTGAGCTCTGCCCCAGGGCCTCCTGTTGAATAAAACTGTCACCTGTCACCGCTGTAGCCCAGGCTGCAGCAGACTGGTGGCCTTCTTCTCTTGAATGCCTGTGGCTTGCTTCTCGCACTGAGGGCCCAGTGGAAGTGGGCAGGAGTGTGCCTGATCTTCAGAGGTTAGCGGCCCTGGGTGGCCTGCTCTCCAGCAGTGGGGCTTGGTGGGGGCCCAGTGCTCAAGTAGGAAAACCCTCCAGATTCCTTCGGGCACCAGGTTGTGTGTCTTCCTCCCCACCATGAAGTCCCACAGCAGTGGACAGCTCTCTGCCCCAGCTGAAGTCTTATCTTTCACCTACAACATCAGCGTACACAGCTTGTAGGCTGTGTGATGTCCACAACCATCCTTCATGCAGAGTATAGGCAACAAGAAGCTGAAAGGTCACCTGGTCAACCCAGGCTCGCCCAGGCTCAGCTCAACACAGCAGGAGGCAGGGCCTTAAAATCAGATCCCCAGTGCTGCAGGATAGTTGGTTGCATAGTGACATTGTTACTGTGTTACAAGTTTACCCTTGAATCGGGGTGGAGAGAGCAACTAGATGACCACAATTAGCCATTGATATTTTGGAGGACTCTGGATACATATAGAGAGAAACAGGATGTAATAGGGAGGGGTTTAGAAAGCTTCTCCGTGCAGCTCGGGCACCGTAGCCATTAGCCATCACGAACGACACAGTAACGATCCGGACCAGGAAGTTCATGACTAACCGTCTGCTTCAGAGGAAACAGATGGCTATTGATGTCCTTCAACCTGGGAAGGCTATAGTACCAAAGACTGAAATTCGGGAGAAGCTAGCCAAAATGTACAAAACCACACCAGATGTCATCTTTGTGTTAGGATTTAGGACCCACTTTGGTGGCGGCAAAACAACTGTGTTCGGCGTGATCTATGATTCTCTAGATTATGCTAAGAAGAATGAGCCCAAACACAGACTTGCAAGACATGGCCTCTATGAGAAGAAGACCTCCCAGAAACAGTGGAAGGAGCGAAAGAACAGAATGAAGAAGGTCAGGGGCATGGCAAAGGCCAACGTTGGTACTGGCAAAAAGCCAAAGGAGTAGATCTGCGGTGATTCGATCTGCGGTGGTGTGCAGACAATTTCGGAGAGAACAAATAAACTAAAAGCTTATGTGGAAAAAAAAAAAGGAAGATTCTCAGGCTTTTGGATCAGGGAAGGAGAGACAGAGGAGGACATGGGTTGCTTTTTTTGCTACTTATCAATCAGGTTTTCACCCCGATACTGACTCCCGAGTTTTTATTAATAATATAAAAATTAGATAAACTCTTCATCTGGCATCCAACCTGGGGCAAGAGATACTGAGGCAGCCCCTCTCCTGGGCTGTGTAGCTGCTTTCAGCAGGCTGTTATTCAGGTGGCCCATGCCCTTGCTTCCCACTATTGAGGTTTCCCCTACAATGCATCCTTTTCATGCAGCTCTCTCTCCCTCCCCACGGGTTGCAGGCCTTCCCTGGCCCACTTCTTAGGCTGCAGCCGGCCAGCTCAGCCACTTGGACATGCTCTCTGGCCTTGACACCAGCTTGCACCCGCTGGGGCTTCTGCTGCTGGTGCAGCTGCCTCACATGGTCAGCCCTGGCTACATGCAAGCAGCTGCAGGTGCCCTCAGTCTAGCCTGTGCTGCGGTGCAGAGACAGCCCACTGTGACCCCATCGTCCACTGGGCTTACCTCGCCACCTGGGCACCGTGCCACCCCCCAGCCCTCATTGCCAAGTACCACAGCAGGAGCTGGGTACCACAGGCCTCCTCACCCCACCACAGAGCACTGCAGTCGACTTTGCTGTAGCCCACAGGATACAGGGAGGGGTGGGGGAATATTGAACAGTGTTTGGTGGCGTTTTTACCTGCTCGGCCATCTAACTGGCCTTTTGTTTTTGAGACGGGTGAGAGTATACCATGTTGGCCTTGAATTTGCTACGTATCAGATCTCCTTGTCTCTAGCTCCCAATTGCTGGTATATATATTATTGCTACCTGGGGCGGGGGTGGGTGGGGGCAGGCTCCAGCAGGGCAGTGCTCAAAGGGAAGCCAGAGAGTCTATGACTTTTTCTATCTGAGGGGGTCAAGGAAAAAACATTCACAGAATTCTTGATGGTTTCCTTCTGATCTTTTCTTTATTCTTCTTTTGCATCCTCTTTATTTTCCTGATGATTTCCTCCTTCTCATTCTTGGTGATTTCCTTCTAATTCATTTTAACTCTATTATTCTTGCTGTTTTCCTCTGAACTCATTTTAACTCTCATTCTTGATGTTTTCCTCCTAAACCATTTGCACTCTCTCTAACTCTATCTCTAGTCTTCCCCTTGTAGCTCATATACCCAGCAAAATCTTTCAGGCAATATCAAAATTACAATGTGGTTACATTCTGTTTTTCAAGTGAATGATTGAAAGTAAAAAACAGCATGTTTTCCATATCCCTTACATGATTAAATATTTTCCTATTACAGAAGAAAAACAAATTATCCCAAGAACCGACACACATTCATACACTAGCATCTTGTCATAAATTAACCGTGTAGGCAAGCAAGTTATTCCTTCTCAGTCAGGTCTTTTACTGGCAGGCTGTATTTTGCAGTTACAAAGGGTCAACACTTTATTAGTTATCTTAAAAGGTAGATAAGGAATATTAAAGGAATCACAAACCTCAACTTTTATATGTGGAAAGAAGTAGTCTGCTCTACTTCAAATTTTTAGGGTACACAACCACTCATCAATAGTTTCTTCTATCAGGAGATTGAGGGCAAAAATGGGCACAAGAAATTAATCATCACCTTTGATCGCCAACCAAACCTAGCAAGGAAAGTGTATCAACTAGCAACTATTGGGTTGCTTTGTGTTTTTGACCCTAACCTAATGAATCTCTAACTCAGTGATGTGTCCTTGTGAATGTTACATTTTTTTTTTTTTGTTTGTTTTTTGTTTTTGTTTTTCGAGACAGGGTTTCTCTGTGTAGCTTTGCGCCTCTCCTGGAACTCACTTGGTAGCCCAGGCTGGCCTCAAACTCACAGAGATCCGCCTGGCTCTGCCTCTGGAGTGCTGGGATTAAAGGCATGCGCCGCCACCACCGCCTGGCACATGCTTTACCACTGAGTTTACCACTGAATGTTACATTGTTATCTGGGGTTTTTCATCTCAAAGCTATTATCAAAACATCTGGTCTAACCTGAAGTTATTTTAAGGCTTTGTTTCAGCTAATGATGCACACTGAAACCTGTGACTGGATCCTTCAGCATTAAGAGGATTAGAGCCAGCCTGGCTCCTGGGGACTCAATTGTTTTCCTTAATCATTAACCTGAACTGTGATCTATGCAGCTCCTTAGGTGAAACTCATAGGCTTTAGCTGTGTGACATTTCCTTGTATTTTTTTAAATTTATCAAACTCTTTATAAACTAACATTATTAAAATCAATTAGACAGTACAGGTTAAGAAGGAAGCATCTTCATAATAATCCACAGATAAAAATGCTCAGTAAAACTGGATGTTTCCATGAGAAAAACACACTACATTACAGGCAGTGGGGATCTCCCCACACCCATTCACACCATGCCAGCTACCAGAGAAGATGGCAGGGGCAAAGACGTAAAGGGACAGTAGAAGCAAAAGACACTCTGGGGTCTGTGGTCTCAGGGCCTTGCCCAACTGAGATTCACCCATCAAGGTTTTTCCTCCTGGTGGGCTGACACCCTGAAGTCAGTTGCCACCCACTGTTCCTCTGACACGGTCACTGGCAATATGTACCATGCCTGGCTTTTTTCAGCCTCGTAGAGCAGACTGGCATCAAAACTTTTTTCTTCTTAGTCCCCAGGAGTGGGACTAAATGTGTATGTTACCTTGTCTGGCTTGACTTTAAACCTTTAATCCTACCTCAGCTTCCTGAGGCTCTGGAATTACAGGCATGAACACACTGGCTTGTCCTGGGTTTTATGTTTATGACTGTGAAGACCCAAGGTCCATCTATTCAGTCTTGGTAGTCTCTCTGCACTTGAAATTCTCCAGGGCAGAGGTCAGGAAATCTGAAAGGTCTAGAGGTCAAACAACCTGCATCAGTTTCTGTGTGCTGTTAGGGAAGGAACCTGGGGCCTTAAGCATGGCAGGCACATGCTTTACCACTGAGTTCATATAGCTCTCCCCTCCTGTGGAACACAGCTAGCCAGTCAGGTGTGGTTGCACACAGGTGTAATCCTAGCACTACAGGGGCAGAGGCTGGAGGATTGCTGCAAGCTCAAGACCGGCCTGTGCTACATAGTGAGAGCGTCTGAGTCAATAAAACCACTTGCTCCCAACTCCAGCAGTGGCTTTCCCCTGCCTTAGGGACAAGCCCTTATTCCTGGCATGTGTCAGGCTTAGCCCTGGTTTGTGCATCTGTGTGTGTGCATGTTCACGTATAAGCGATGAAGTTGTCAGGGCACTAAACTTTCCTCAGCAAATCCATTCCAGACAAAGGGCTGGAGAGGACACCCAACTCTGCAGGCTGCTGTCAGCTATCTGCAGTGCTGTGCTGTCAAGGAGCCAGGCCGTGCAGGCCCCAAACAGAAGCACAAAGCTGAAGGCCTTCTTCCTAGGAAAAGTCTCTGCTGTCCACAGGGAAAACCCCGTGGACAAAATTTTATTCTTTGTAGAAACAAAGTCCTGCCCCAGCACCCTCCCTTGTCTTTATCTATAGCAAAATAGATAGCTGCTCCCTCCAGAGGGGCGACAGCAGTCCTGGTGGTCCAATAGATATGAAGAACTTGCTAGAAGGCCTTAGTCCCACATCTTAGAGTCAGCTGTCATCCTCTTCCTCTGACTCTCCCTCAGACTCAGGTGCGCTCTCGGGCAGGTCATCATCCATCTGCTGGAATCTTCCCGAATGGGCATCCCACATGTATTTGATAGTCACTTTGAATTCAGCCATCTCATACCCAAAAAGCTTCTGTAATAGGTGGAGGAAGCAGAGAGAGAGGAGCAGCAGCTGTGAGCCATGTCCCAGCAGAAGGTTAATGACAATGGCCTCTCCCCCAGGTTGCACGCCCAGACTCACCAAGACACGGGCCTGCTCTGGAGTCAGCACATCGCCCTCCTTGCATACTTCATAGTCAGATAGCAGGGTCACCACACCTGTGGGAGGGCAGCCTCAAGTTACTCCCAGCAGAGGCTCACATGGCACTTGCTGCTAGCTCTTTGTGCTTGGAAGCATTTGGCCTCAGACTGTCTTTCCTGCAGCTCAGCAGCCACAGGGACAGTGGCTGCCTCCTCCATGTCCTGCAGGAGGCGAAGGCACAGCCCTGCCTTCACGGGGGAAACTGGAGAAGTATCTGGTCAGAGGGGAGAGCCTGTGGAAAGTGGTCCTGAGCTGCTTTTCATTCTGGACTTCCCGTACAGTCTTCCTTCATTCTTACTCATCTTTTTCCTTTCTGAGACAGGGTTTCTCTGTTTACTCTTGGCTGTCTTGGACATGCTATGTAGACCAGGCTGGCCTTGAACTCACAGAGATCCACCTCCCTCTGCCTCCTGAGTGCTGGGACCAAAGGCTTGTGCCACCACTGCCTGGCTCCTTCCTTTCTTCATTTTCTAAAAATTACTTTATGTGTAGGGGTATTTTGTCTACAAGTATGACCATGGTAGCATGTGAGTGCCTGGTGCCTGTGGAGGCCAGACGAGGGTGCTGGGAACCAAACCCATGTCACCTGGAAGAGCAGCCACTCCCCTAACCCCATGCCACCTCTCCAGCTCCTACCTTTCTTGAGTGCAGTGGGCAGGCCCAGCTGCCTCAGCTGTGGCTCCATGGAATGAGGGAACTGCTTCAGGGGCCCTGGATCCAGGCTCACTGTTAAAGTTGCTTTGTTCCCAGCTCGAGCAAAATCCATTTCTGTATACTTCGTGAACCACCTAAGAAAGAGAAGAGTGAGGGGAGAGTTCCCGGCTGTGCCACCATTCAGGGGAAGTCTGGCCCTCTGATTGCACAGGATGTGGGACCTGTCCCTGTCCCTCTTGGCCGTGAACCTGCAGTCAGTGGGAGGACAATGCCAGAGAGAATGAGAGTACCCCGGTTACAGAACCCCGGCTTCAATAAAAGGCTTCCAGGAGCCAGCCCCAATATGATGTTAGCACGAAGATCATCCTTCCATCTTTCCCTGACCCTCAGCTTCTCTCCCTCCATCCCTCAAGACACTCACTCATTCACCTCCTCCTTGGTGCGGTTGGTAAAGAGGAGGCCAACTTCACCTCGTAACTTCTTGCTGACCTGAAAAATGAAAGTGAACATCACTGCTCCTTCACTCAGGGCCCTGTATCCACAGATCACATGTGTTATCATCTAAAACCTCTTCTGATTGGTACAACTCCTAGTAGGCAGGGCAGGAGGACATAAGGAGAACAATCCCATGGGTCTGCAGATTTGCAGGTTAAGGAGAACACCGATTTAAGCTGAGCTTGGCTCTCGAGACCCCCAGGATTCATACAGCAAAGGGGAAGAGCAGGAGAGAGGAGGCAGCAGAGCTTGAGACTCACTTAGCCTGGGCCAGTGACCTACCTGATGCAGGTTGTCTTTGTATTCATCAGAAGGGCTTCGACCTAAGGCCACCATCATCACTTTGTTTTTGCCAAAGAACATCCTGTCAAGAAAGAGGCGGCTGTGAGGCAGTGCCTAGTAGTCCAGGAAGCCCAGAACCAGACAGCCAGAGGCTCTGTTCTCCATACAAACCACCTACGTGTCCCTAGGATTCCAGTTTTCATCTTAGCCACAGAACCTGATCTTGCTAACAGTCTGAGTCAGCTCACCGCAAGCATAAAAAACTATCCATCACGCCTGGCTGTGGGGAGAGACATGTTTTAACAATGCCTAGCAGAGTTGGCCCAATGGTAGACTGATGCCAGAGCCACCTGCCCAAGCACTGCAACCCATCAGCTCTTGCAGCCTGCTTTGGGGTCAGTCTGTGGATGATGCACAAAATGTAAACCAGTAAGCCAGACCCTAGGGCCCACTTTTCTGAAGGAGCCAATCTTGAAACATCTCAGGTGACCACCAAGTCCTGTCTCCAGCAGCTCAGGAAAAGCCCATCTTTAACACAAATGGTGCCCTCCAGCACGTGACCTGCAGACCCAAAGGGTCAGTCCTCCTGCCTGGTGCCCTGTCCACTTCCCACTGCCCGCTCACCGGCTGTGCTTCCAGGCATTCCGGATGTCCTTCAGCTTGCTGTTCCTCATGTTGGCCACAGAGAAGATGAAGAGGTACTTGTAGGTGTCCACACATTTCCGAAGCTGTGGGACAATTCATGAGGCACTGGAGTTGAAGGGGCAGCATGGGTCGGACAACTCCGGCCTCACGCTAGAGAATCACCTATAGGCCTTTAATCTGGTCTATAATCTACCACTGACATGGCTGGCACCAAGGTCACCCACTACAGGAGAAGGTGAGCAGGAACCCACACCTTATAGTCTTCTAGAGCCAGTATTTTCCTTTGTCTACTTACAGTTAATCTAGAAACATCTACCCACCATGGGAAGGCCCCTGCTAAGTCAAAACACAAGGACCTCATCATTTCGATAACAAGGGGAGACACCTCATCCACACTGCCCTGCCCAGGTTGCTGGCTGAAGGTAATTTATGCACCAGGAGACTGGGCTTCCCTGGCCCTCAGCACAGGGCTAGTAGGTCAGCTGCAAGTGGCATGGCCAGTCACCACACCTGGTGATTTCCAGGCTTCTGACACTAGGCGGCATTACAAACTCACTAATAAGCTTCCCTTACGATCCGGAGTGCAAAACAGCAATAGCATCCTCTGGTCACAGGGATGCTTCGGGGGTGCAGTGGGGGATTGTGTGGAAAACCCATTTACTGATGTGGGAGGTACACCGAGCTCCACCAGAGCTGGGAAACTCTGGGGCTGCTGGTTTTAAAGCACTGCTAACAGTCCTCCCCCAACCCTATCAAGCAAACACACACTAGAAACATAAAGGAGCAAGCGCTTACCTCTTCTATCAGGTTCTGCTTCAGTTCCAAGCCTTTCTTAGCAGTCTTTGTTAAGGAAACTAAAACCAAGAAAAGGAGATGGTGGTAAGTGATGAATCTGGATGCTCCAGAGATTAATTCTGCTTCGTTCTTGGGAGGCTTGGTTGAACTAAGCCAATATGAAGAAGGCAGCAATGGATCCTGTCATTTCTGGCATTCAAGGCTGGGAGAGTGCTTGCTTACCTAACTTCTTGGACCCAGAGATCCCTAAATACATCTCCTTCCACAATCCAGGCGCTCTTAGACCCTGGGGATGACTGCTGGATTTATCGCAGTGTGGCAGCAGGGCTCATCCCCGCTGACAGAGTGCTCTCAGTGGCAGCCCTAACCTCCTGGCTGAGGCAGGACCCTTTCCTGTTGTAGGGCATGGTGCACAGGCCATCAATGGCTAGGTCAGCTATGGGATGATAGCGACAATCCTTTTCTTTCTTTTTTTTTTAAAGGCAGGACCTTGGTACAAGGCTGCTTGGGCTGGCCTTGAACTCAAGATACATCTCCTTGTTTCTGCTTCCTAAGGGCTGAGATTACCTGTATATACCAACGCATCCTGTTGGGACCACATCTTTTCCATTCTACTACACACCTGCATTTCAATTTTGCATCTGGACCCAAGAATACAAGAATGCTGGGGAGGGGAGAGGCGCACAAGAACCTCTACTGAAAAGTTACTGAGGCCCTATTTATCGCACTTCTAAAAGAGTTACTGGCATTTGCTACATCGGACCAGGGCTTACTCTCTAAAACCAATGACTTCATAAGGACTTACCAGAACTTCAGCTACAAAGCCCTGGGTGTCCCAAGCAGGTGACAGGGCCTTTTATCTACCCTGCCTGCCACTCACAGTCCCTCTTTACAATGCACATCGTCAACAGCAACCACACTGAGCCAGCCACTCCCCAGACTCTCCATTGCTAGGATTTTGGTCCAACTTGGCATTGTCCAGGTGGCTACTGGCCTTGCTGCTTCCATCTCGGCCCTCATATTCTCAGGCTATCAATGTAGCCAAAGTGGTCCTTTTAAAGTAAAGACACATCAACGGCCAGATCCTTTTCCCTCAATCCTTTTTTGTCCACTTTACTATAGTCACATTGGTCCCTTGTCCCACAGTATGTTAACCACAGACCCCTTTCACCTTGTGAACAACCTTCTCTCAGACTGCTGAACGGGTTTCTTAGTTTCCTTTCTAGGTTTCTGTTTGTGGTCTCACCACTGAGACCTTTCCTGACTACATGATACAAAACAGTATCATATCCACCTTCTGCATACCCCACTTTTAACTACCAGACAAACCATACTTACTTGACAGGGATATAGGATACACACATACACACACACACTCCCAGACAAACACACACCATGATTAAAGCGGTGAGCTTGATGAAGCCGAACCCTTTTTGTTCAATTTCTTGTCTTCTAACACCCACAAAAGTGCCAGTCCACTAGCTGGATGTGGTGCCCCATTCTGGAATTTGGGGCCAAGGCAGAAGACGGAGAGTTCAAGGCTCCAGCATTAAAAAAAAAAATTGTAACAGGAGCCACAATCAGGTACGGTGATGCATGCCTATAAAATCCCTACATTCTGGAGAAGACGAGGTAATGGAAAGCCCTTGGGTTTGAGACCAGCCTGATCTACACAGCAAGTCTAAGTTACATTCCAAGATTCTGTTACAAACACACACGCGCGCGCGGTAGGGGATGCAGCTGGTAGTGCCTTCCTAACAGGCATGTACTGTGGTCCATACCCAGCTCAGCATAAACTAAGTTTAGTGGCATGCCTGTAACCCCAATAATAGGGCGTTAGGATCAGCAGTTTAAGACTATCCTCGTTGGCGAGTTCGAGGAGAGCCTGGGATACAAGACTGTCTCGGGAGCTGCCTGTCGGTCCGGCCCAGACTCCAGCTCTCCGCGTCACCTTCAGGTGCCAACCCGCCGCCCCGGCCGGTGGGTCGCCTCCGAGAGCCCTCGGCGTCTCACCCGTGTCCCCGTCGCCCCCATGATGGAAGTCCCCCAAGCCCACCTTTCTTGTCTCGCTTGGATTTGGGCATCTCGCTGAAGACACGTGCGGCGGAAGACCGGGCGGCCCTTCAGGACCCGGGCGGCGCAGGGGCTTCTGGGACTGCGCGCGGGGCTGCCCCTCGCGTGTGCCTGACCCGAACTGAGGCGGGCTGTCTCCCCGTTTGCACTCTGCTCCGTGCCTGGAAGGCCACTACCTGGCCCAGGTTCCAGATCTCTCCAGTCCCTCCAGTCCCTCCAATCCCGGCGGCTCCCTAGCCCTGAGCGTTCCAAGTGCCTCGCGCACCGCCTCCTCTCTAGAGTTCGCCGCGGGGAGGGGCTTGAGGCCCAGTGCATGCCGGGATGGCGGCGGGCGGCGCTTGGGCTTCAATCATGGCGGCAGCTGTGGCGTCCGGGTTCTGGCTCTGGGCTGCGCTGCTTCTTCCTGCGGCCGCGGTCTACGAAGACCAAGTGGGCAAGTTTGACTGGTGCGTATGGGTGACGCTTCTCCAGGAAGTAGGTGTCTGCTTTCCCAGCATCTGTCTCCCTCCTATTAGCAGGAGGGAGATTGCCATGGAGCAGGACCGAGTTTATAACTTCCAGCCAGGCCTTTAAGGGAGAGGTGAATGAATGAGTGCGGCACCCTGTGCAGAATGAAAACGTGAGCGTCCCTTCTTCAGATACGAAGAATTTGAAGACGGCGACCCAAGATCATTAAATTAAGCACCCAGGGAACTCTTTTGAGCCGACCCGTATATGACTGTGCAGATTGCACTGCAGTGGAGCCAGCCCTGCCATCCAGGCATATTTTAGGGTTTTGGTCAGAGGTCACGGATTCCCTCCTTTCCTGTCATATCCAATTCTGGGGCTGTCAGAGTTGTGATCTCCTGGGTGTCAGAGGTCACTAGCCCCCAGTGAAATTTCATCCTCCTGGAAACTAGCTGTTGTCTCTTAGCCCTCCTGCCTTAGAGGTTCTAAAGTGAGTTCTTTTTACCCTCTGAGGGACGCTCTGGGCACAGTGTCCTCTCCAAACTTATCAGCCAGACATTCATTCACTCACCTCTTCCTTCCGGCCATGCTTGCTTCAGTTGGAAGGAATATTTATTTGGCTGCTTAACTGTTGCATGCGCCTGGGGAAATTGACATACAGCTGAACAATAGTATTTTTAAAAGGTCTTCATTTTGGGCCCTGGACTTTCTGGACTTTGGTTTCCTCATCTGTAAAATGAAGGCAATAACATTTGCCTTACAGTGTGTAGGGTTGTTTGGTGGCTACACGCAGAATAAAGTCACATGAAAATACACATAGAAATGACCGAGTCTAAACTTGACTCTACTACCAATTTAGCTCGTTTAAAACAAACTAAACAACACAGTGGTCTAAATGAGAGATGCAGTCTAAATGCCATGTTTGCTCCGTGTGCTCCAAGGTAGCAGGATTTCTCGTTGCAGCATATGTACCTGGAAGTCTGTTTGGTGCAGCTAAAAGTTAATTAGGCTGAGGACTCTTTGGGATGTTGCTTGAGTAATAGGTGTTACACTCAGCTGGAAGACTGTTACTATCTCTCATCTATTTGGTGGTAATTCTTTCCTATCACCTTTGCTTCTGAGTGCATTGCACAGAAATCTTGGGTATGGTCAGAGCTCTTCATTTGCACACATTTCTTGTATGTGATGAGGGAGATGTGCTAGTGTGAGCCCAGCAATTTTTCTCTTTGTGGTGATGACTTTGCCCTGATGTTCCCCTGCACCCTTCCTCAGGAGACAGCAGTATGTTGGGAAACTCAAGTTTGCCTCCTTGGAATTTTCCCCTGGATCCAAGAAGTTGGTTGTGGCCACAGAGAAGAATGTGATTGCTGCATTAAATTCTCGTACTGGAGAGATCTGTGAGTGAGCTGTGGAGACTGGAGGGAAGCTGACTGAAGTCAGTCCAACTAACCTAGGGCTTACCATCTTCCTTCCTTCCTTCCTTCCTTCCTTCCTTCCTTTCTTCCTTCCTTCCTTTCTTCCTTCCTTCCTTTCTTTCCTTTTCTTTTTTTTTTTCTTCTCTAGTCTTACCATCTTTCAAGATGTATATTTGTGTCAATGGCCTTTGTAATGTCCTCAATCCTAAAGGTCCTTAGTAAGATGACACTGCAAAAGCTACGTTCTATCCTGTTTTGCAATAAAGGCTTGGATGACTACTGTTCAGTTATCCCTGCTGCTGGGATTGTTTGTAGGAATTTAGATTGTGAAAAGAGAATTCATAAACTCTTCTTATGAATTGGGTAGGTTTTGTTAATTTAAAAAAATTGTTTTGTTTTAATTTTTATTTTATGTGTATTGGTATTTGACCTGCATGTATGTCTGTGTGAGAGTGTTGGATCTTCTGGAACTGGGGTTACAGACAGTTTTGAGCTGCCATGTGGGTGTTGGGAATTAAACCAGGTCTTCTGAAAGAGCAGCCAGTGTTCTTAACCGCTGAGCCATCTCCAACCAGATTTTGTTTATCTTATTGTTGTTCCGTTATATGTTTCATGGGGTGGTAGTGGACCAGAGGGGCAGAGAGCCCAGATGGGAAAAGCAATACCTCTTGAACCCCTCCTCCCTCACTCTCCAGTGAGTGGTCTAGGTCATAGCACTTAGTAGTATCCCTGCTTCCTAATTAAAGTTAGGTAATGCTATGCAAATGAAGATCTCAGTCCCTTCCTAGTCTCGTTGGGTCACAGTCGCTCACAGCAACGCCTGACTCTCTTATCTCTCAGTGTGGCGCCATGTTGACAAGGGCACAGCAGAAGGTGCTGTGGATGCCATGTTGGTCCATGGACAAGGTAAGCAGAGGTCCCCCCAGTCTCCATTGTGGGGTCAGCGCCATCTTCCATTGCTTGATTCTTTGCTTTGTTTAGGGTCTGATGGGGAAAGGAGAAGGGGGGCTTCTACAGTGAAGGGCAGGTACCTGCTTCATACCTGTTTGCATCCATGAGCTGGGGGTGGGGGTCATGGCTCGTGGCTCTTACGAGACAACAGAGGAAGTGTGGGAAATGACAGTGGTCTTTGTCCTTTCCAGATGCAATCACTGTATCCAATGGAGGGCGAATCATGCGTTCTTGGGAGACTAACATTGGGGGCCTGAACTGGGAGATCACTCTGGACAGTGGCAGGTAGGCAAGAAGTGTGCTTCATTGTGGCTGAGTGAAGGGATCTGCATAGACAACAACTCTGGGCCTTTGGGATTTTTTTCCCCCTTTCTTGGAGACCACTGAAGAGGTATAGCACATCAGATGCCTATTGTTTTTGAAAATTTTTTTTCTTATGTGTATGGGTATTTTGTCTGCTTGTATGTTTATGGACCACATGAGTGCAGTACCAGTGGAGGCCAGTAGAGGGTGTTGCCCCCCCACTGGATTATCAGATGGTTGTCAGTCACCATGTGGGTGCTGGGAATTGAATTCAGGTACTCTTGAAGAGTAGCCAGTGCTCTTAATCACTGAGCCTTCTCTCTAGCCCCAGATGCCCCTCCCCCCTTTTTGAGACAGGATCTCTACCTAGCCCTGGCTGTCCTAGAAATTCTTAGACCAGGCTGGCCTTGAACTCTGAAGAATCCTCTCCCTTAACCTAGGATTTTTGTGCCACCACATCTGACTTAGATGCCCATTCTTGATTTACTTGTTATAGCACATATGTGTTTATTTACTGAGATATCTATGTTATTTACAAATGGGATTAGCTATGAATTGGATGGATTTTGTTAATTGAGCACCTATTAGATGAACAGTTCTGTACTAGATACAATGTTTATTCTGTTCTTGAACACTGCCCCAATCTTACCATAATAGCTGTGTTCTAGGTAAAAGAACATAATACAAAGCTTTCCATGTTTCTTATGTTTGTTTGCTTTGAGACAGGTTTCATGTAGCCCAAGCTGCCCTCAAAGTAGCTATGCTGATGAGGCTGACTTTGGTGTGTGTGTGAGAATGTGTGTGTTTGTCTGTCGGTCTGTCTCTCTGTCTGGGTGATGTGTGGGGAGGGCGTGCATGCCGTAATGCACATGTAGAGGTTAGTGAATAGCTTCATGGAGTCATTTCTCTCTTTCTACCTTTGAGTGGGTTCTGGGCATTGAACTTGTGTTGTCAGCCTTGCTTAGCAAGTGCCTTTACCTGCCAAGCCATCTTGACAGTCCTGGCCTTGACCTTCTGACACTCCTGCCTCTACCTTGTAAGGGCTGGGATTGCAGAGCTATTTCGCCATGCTTGAAACTCCATATTTTAGTTCTCTGTTATTGAGCAGCTTGGACCACTGCCTTATCTTTGCTGAGATTAATCTGTGTGCTTGTTGGCTTTAGCTTACACATGGGACGATAACAGTTCACTGGTTACTAGCACTTGGTAGATCCCAGGTGATGAGAACACTGTCCATGTGAGACAGCCATGACATCAAGTTCTTGCCCAGTTGTGGACATGGTCATAAGCCTAACAGTGATAGCATTTCCTGAGTCCTGTGAAATCCCAGGGAAAGAGAGAGGTAACTCAAAGAAGATTTGGGGGCATGAGGGCAGTGTGCCTAAATGGTTCTTAGGCAAGGCAGATTCTCAAATTGGTAGAGGCAAGGTTAGACAGAACAAGCACTGGCATCCAGGTGTGTTTGTTTTCTGACCCAGCAAGCAGCAGCGGCAGTAGTGGGGCCAGCCACTCTAGCTGAAGGCCCTCACTCATACCTGTGCTTAGTTTCCAGGCACTTGGGCTGGTGGGCCTGCAGGAGTCAGTGAGGTACATTGCAGTTCTGAAGAAGACAACTCTCACCCTCCATCACCTCTCCAGTGGGCACCTGAAGTGGGTGGAACATCTCCCAGAAAGGTAAGGCAGTCTCCTCCCAAGTGATGACTATCTTGTCGTGATCC